GGAAATGAGGGTATTTTGAAATGCTCCATGCCAGTGGGTAGCCCAGGAGTTTACCTCCCGCGCAGGCTACGCACTGAATTCCCCAAACCGTTCAGGGAAGCCGACGTACCCTGGGCAGAAGCCTTGGTACAGCCCACTTGTACAAGGTAACTGCAATCCTGGTGGGACTGCCAACGTGCCAGCAGAATCAAAACAGCGCAAAGAAGAATCTCTAGGTGCTTGTAGCTGTATCCTACCAGAACGGAAAAGAAAGCATAACATGAAAAATAGCAAACCCGTTGGGATCCCACCTGCACCTGCGCAAGCTGACGTTAACCGTGTTCTTGGGTCTCCCACTGACATCAACGTTCAAGTCGCTGTACAAGGTGACCCGTCTTTGTCTTGATGCTGAAGGTGCCTGACTTTCTGTGCTGAGGGCTGGAGTCTGCTGGCTTTGCAGTTTGTGACATTCTAGCAGATTCTAGAACTTATTTGGAAGCACGTAAACAGACAGTTTTATGTTAAATATTGGTCTCTGGTTTACTTTTTGGTTTTAGCCATGGTGTTCTGTTGAACATTTTGATTAGACCCAAGAGAAGGCCAGCTTCGATGCTGACAAACCATTGAGCGTTTCTACATTTTAACATGACTTGGTGCAAATGCTTACTGACAACGGATGAGTGTGACTGGGCTACTTAACTTCTTGACTGGGCTACTTAACTACTTATTCCTCAAGGTAAAGTTCTTTTTCTCTCACATAGACATGTAACTTTCACAAATAAGCTCGCTACAGAGAAGCTGCCATTTAATTTGCTAACTCTGCTTTAATTAAACATCACTCAACCAGCAAGCTGTTGAGCACAGATTCCCATTATTGATATCAGCAGGAGCAACATTCATTACTATGCGACACAAAGGCATTCAGATTTATTTGAAAGGCTTATCTGCTGTGGACTTTTTACAATTTCTCCGGTGAAGAACATGCAGAACCCTTTCAATTAAAAACTACTTGATCTTCAATTGTTGATAGGGTAAAGAATTGGAAGGCATATGCAAATCATAGATTTTGATCAGACCCTCAATTAGTCAACAGATTTCAGGACAGTCCATCCAGGTACTGAACCTAAGCTTAAAAATGATTTGCATTTCTTTCCTAGTTATGGGAGGTAAGGCAGTAGCAGCGTTCGTCATTTTTCTTTTGAAACGTGATGGAGACAAATGCAATATTAATCCCATAAGAAGACATATTAGTTCCCCAAATTGGAGTTGGGACCCTTCTCTTTTCCCTTTGTTTCATTTGCCTCCATTTATTTTCCATGTAGAGGGATTTTATAGGGCCCCTTAATTGGCTTCCTTCTTAATAAAGCCAACCTGGAATTGGCGCTAGACATAGGCCAACACTTAGGAAGCCTTTCTATTGGAAATTAAAAGATGCTTTAATGTGGTGTTATCTGTCAGTCATACCAGGTGTAATCTGAGCCCTACCCAGCCTCAGTTCAGACTCTGGAAGGGTCACGTTTCTACAGCTATTTTCAAATGGAAAAATATGTAAAAAAAAAAAATGAGTTAGGGATATTTTTGATACATGATACCAGTATCATCTCTGGCACAGTTTCCTTTTTCCAGGAATTTATTTGCTCTCAATTTTGGAATTTTGTGATTAGAGGCAGAGCGTACCCATTGATCATTAGAGACAGAGAATTGCTAAGAGCGTTCCCATATTATTCAGGCAGGCAGGGGGAAAAAATAACCAGAAGCTACCCCATTTTGATGAACACAGGGTGTCTTGGTTGAGATTACTTAATGGGTCTCCACATGCTGAAGTGACAAACTAGTGTCACAGAAGATACCATGACCAGTTGTGGTCCACAGACAGGCTACCTTCACTGGAGAAATCAAGGAATGATGTGGAAATGGCCACATCTTTAAGGCTCTCCTTACACATTGAGAGTAGTGTGCAGGGAGGAAAGTTATACTTGCAGCAGAGTTTAACACTTTTACACTTAGTAAAAGCAGGATTGCTTGGATAAGTGATGTTAGCAGCACACGGCTTAGAGACCTGCCCATTGCTAGCAAAAGCAGTTGCAACCACCCCAAGCACCTAAAGGCAGCAGAATTCAATAGGTCCCTCCTTACTCTAGAAGGCATGGGATATGGCTCCAAAGTATTTGCTTAAACCAGCTCAAGTATTTGTGTTACGTTACAGGAAATTTGTTCATCATACCCAATTCACACTTGTTCTCTAAATGAGGACACTAAGGAAAGACTCAAGCCACTTTTCAAGCCATGCAACTGTGTTCCTGCTCAGGACAGGGTATTGAACTTCAGGGAAGGATCCGAGTTGGGAAAAAAGTCACCACACAAGTCAGTTTTCAGTATTGACCTTTATTGAGCAAGAACTGCTGTGACTGTTTTACATCAAACAACAAAAGGTTGCGTACTGTGCATGTCAACTAGGTTCTCCCATGAGCAAAAGTCCACCCTAATTGCACCAGTGAGGTAAACATAATTATTTATAAGTAGCTTTCTTTAAGGCTAGGAGAGTTCTGGTTCTCATGAATATTCTATTACTGTTTTCTGTTTGGTTTTGGCTCAGTTGGTTCTTTGCATAATACATCTTAAGTCATTCCTCAGATATACCCCTCCAACAGCTCAGGAAATTCAAAAGCTTCCTTTGCACATTTCATCTCATGCACTATTATTAGTATTTTTTTTTTTTTAAGATACCCAAGCTCTGTGGAGGGAGCACATCTTGAGCCTGCATGCATTCCCCCCCCCTCCCCTATATTGCACAAAAAAGTAAAATACTGTGTGTCTGGAGCCTCCATGAGAGAACCCGTTCTGCTTTGAAGCCGTCACTCACATGCATTTTGCAGCTGTCATATGGCTTAACCTTTTGCACCGACCCAAGCTCTTTAATTTTTTTTAATTTAGCTATGTTTTATTTTATTCGGTCTCTTTAATCTCTTTTACTACAGCATGTGAAGTAACTTTCTCCACTTTCTTGGTGGACACTAATTTCTCCTCAAAGCTTTCTTCATGTTCCTCTACCTTCTGAGTGACTGTCACCGACTTTGTGATGTATGTGGTTGTACTGTCCCCACCTTCACCAGTGATTTTCTCTGCTTTTTTGGTCACTACGATTTTCTCACCTTTATCATCAGTTGGGCTCACGTCTAGGCCATTGGTGACAACTCCCTTGTCCTCCTCCTCAACCTCCTTCTCTTTGGATTCCCCCTCTTCCTTTTTCTCCTCCACCTCACCGTTCACTGCAATGTCTTCTTTCCTGGACTCCTTCTCTACCTCGGCACTAATTTTTGTTACCTTTGTGACAGTGACCGTCTCCTCCACCACAGCCTTTTCGTCTTTGACCGGGGAGGCCGGCTTCTCGGGAGAACGGGGCTTCTCGGGAGTCGCCGGCTTCTCGGGAGAACGGGGCTTCTCGGGAGAACGGGGCTTCTCGGGAGAACGGGGGTTTTCTGGAGAACGGGGCTTCTCTGGGGTCGCCGGCTTTTCTGGAGAACGGGGCTTCTCCGGGGTCGCCGGCTTCTCCGGGGTCGCAGGCTTCTCCGGGGTCGCAGGCTTCTCTGGAGAGGTTACCTTTGGTGTCGCTGGCTTCTCCGGAGATGCTGCTTTCTCCTCTTCCTTGGCTGGTTTCTCACCACCTTTCTCCACCTTCTGTTCTTTTCCTGCTTCTGCAGCTGCTTCTTTCTGGACAGCCTTGGCCGGCTCCGTTACAGGGGATTTAGGGGGGGATTTAGGGGGTGACTTTGAGGGGGGTGTCTTGGCCTTCTCTACCTTTGCTGCTACCTCTTCAGCTTTGCCCTTGGCCTCGGCTTCTTCCCCCTCTGCCTCAGCCTCCTCCCCTTCTTCCTTTTCCTCTATTTCTTCTTTTTCAGAACCTCCTTCTTCCGCTGCATCAGATTTTGCAGCTTCTTCCTCCTCTGCTTCCTCTTCCTCCTTCTCCTCTTCCTCAGGTGCAGCTGCTTGTTCTGCAGCAGCCTTCTCAGAAACAACTTCTTCCTCTGCAGCTGCTTCTTCTGCTTTCTCTTCCTCCCGTTCTTCTTGCTGGGCCTTGGCTGCCATTTCTTCTGCAATAGCTGCTAGGGCATCTTCCATTTCAGACTTTTCATCCTCTACCTTTGTCTCTTCAATGATTTCTTCTACAAACTTGTGCTGGACCTTCAGCTTTGGTGGTTCGATTTTTGTTTTCTGAATTTTAGTGGATGCTATTGTGACAGATGGTTGCCTGTGTGTGAATATGGGTCCAGTAATGCTTCCAGAGAAGGCACTGAATCTTGTCTCTTCGCCCTCCAGTAGCTTCCTAAGGGAATCAGGAGGAAAAAAAAAAGAGCATAGAAACCCAGTGTAAGGGGCAGCTATTAGAATATTGCCCTGTCAGCAGGATTAAGCCAGTTTGTATGTGGAATATGCTAGAACTGATCAGCATAATCCATCGCTCACAGCCCCAGTTCAGCTTTCCTTGAAGCCACTCTCTCGCAAAATTCATATTCAGCAAACCGCTTTGAGCTTGATTTGCATCTGGCAGGTGTTACACCTTTGGCTGATCAGTGGAAATTTATCCTTAATGTCAGAAATCTCATCATGGCCCAAGTCTGCACAGAGCATGGCAAAATAATTAACTTCATAGGATGCACTATGACTTAGGCAAACTGAGAATTTGCCACAGCAACAGACCCAAATCAAATATTTTGGCTGAGCCATTCAAAGCCAGTTAGAGCCTATGTCCGAGTGCAATAGTTTGGGCATCCACCTTTCTTGTGCAGCTGTGAAAACTGAAGAGACTTTTTTGTTCAGCTAACTTTGGCAGCAAACAGCTATAGACCCTAGGGTATCTGTGTGTTTGTCTGAACAACCTCAGGAATTTAAGCAGATCTGGAGATGGGTGGGGTTTTTTTTTGTTTTTACTTTTCTTATATTCAAATGCATGTTTTTCATCTAAGCCTGTGACCCAGAAAAATCAGCAGTTCTCCGAGGAGAGTTCTAAAGTGATGCAAAGGAGACTAAAAAAGTCTGCCAGGTGATGGCAATAGCAAGCAATGTTCCTGCTCCAGATTAGAGCGGATGCCTTTCAAGGAAAGTTGAGCAAGAAAAGCAAAAGTGTTTGTGACAAGCAGGTTAGCACTCCTTGCTTGAAACCGTGATCAAGCAAGCGCGCTGTCTCTCTCAAGCGATAAAAGGGAATTCAAGTGACAAGCACCGTTTCCTTGGCATATGCAAAGCAAAGGGGAATTAAAAATAAACTTGTCTTCTGCTCTTGTAAGCAAGAGCAGAATGCGGCACCAGGGTGCTGCTGCACTGAGTCACGCTGTCCTGTGCCCACAGGGCTGGCCGGGAGCTTTGCCACGGACCGCCAGGGAGGGGGTCCCTAACGAACTCTGGGGTCTGACTGCAAACGCTCCTCGGGTCTGCGCGGATTTTTGGAACGGCTGTCATAATTTAGTCGAGCTCTAGTTTTACTTGTGTTTGCTGCATGCGGATATTTCTTGTCTGTGGTAAAGCTTCCCAAGCCAGCAGCGCCTGCAGTGCTATTAATATTCCAGACATGTCCGCAGTGATCCTACTGTACCTGTATGCAGCAATTTCAATATCCAGGGCCATCTTGACATTGAGGAGGTCCTGGTATTCCCTCAAGTGACGCGCCATTTCCCACTTTGTTCCTCTAAGCTCGTTCTCCAGCTGATGAATCGTGTCCTGCAAGGGAGACGCAGAAAACCTGGGTGACACAGACATAACGCCCCACGCAGAGGGGAAAAAAAAGTTCTCAAAAGGGACTTTCG